ATTGTAGGCACACCATCAGACATGTCCACTCCATATTTGGATGGGGGCCGCCAAGCAGCCAACTGTCCAGTCACCTATATAGCTTTGGCCGCGCCAGTCAGACATACATCAGAAGCACCCTTGACGAGTCAACCTCCACCAGCACTAGTCGATGACCTCCATCCAGCCGCTATCGACGGTCCACACAACCGTAGATGAGAGCCTGCACAACTCATCTGCTGCCGCCCAAGCCCGCCGGAATGAGATAAACCGGGTAGGCCACTACCAAACGAAAGCCCTCTCCACAAGCAATTGTAGAGGCGGCTGACTGTGGCCCAATCTGCCCACAGCATGCTCTCAACCTCCGTCACGTGCCACAGGAGCCCACCAAATCTCGATGCCTTGCTCTAGGCACCGGTCCCCTGCCCGGGCACGCCCCACCGCTACACAGACCACCGCGTCGCATTTAGGCCCCCACGCCACCGCCTTGAAGCACTGCTGGCACACCGCTGCTTCCCGTGCACCAGTCTGATGGTGCCATCCCATGCCTACACCAACCGCGCATGGTTTGAGATAGCGCTTCGCCCGGTCGCGCCTTCCAGAGGTGGCGATGGAGGAGAAGTAGGGGAGTGGCTGGCGGTTAGGCTTCTTGCCGGTCACTCATGGTACCGATGTGGGAGGAAGGGTTTTTCTTCTCTTCGTTTAATGAAAGACGAGGGTAAACATACACTTACAACCATGTATAGTTTTAGCGTAAGAGTTGCCTGTGGAAGTTAATTAATCTTTTTTTTTGCACGGATCTTCTGATCATATTAATTAACAAGTGAAAAGATTGCACGGATCATATTGATCTTGTTAATTTACGGGAGAAAAGAGCGATGCTGCATGCTTGTACTAGACGAAAATAAAATTTACTGTTTAGAACGAATTAAACAATGGAAGCTAACCAATAAGAAGCTAAAAATCTACTCCCCCTTTCGGTTTATAGGGCGCAATTCAAACATCTCACCAACCACGGTAGATGGTGAGTGGGGGAATAATTTTTGTAGTTTGCAAAAATTCTCAATTAATTGGCTTGTTTTCCAGAAGAAATTGTGTTTACCAATGCATTAATTGTAATGCATGCATGTGTAACCAATAAATGACCAAGAGATTTTACATGCATTGGTGAGTTTTTTGTAATCCTTATATGCAACGATTTCTAGCACCTTGAAATCTAGAACATATGGATGCATGAGAGCAATGAAATTGAGACCTATAGAATGGAAACAAAATTTTCAATAAGATCCCAATAAACCGAAATGGAGGAAGTATACAGTAAAGACTTTATTAGTAGCTAAGCCTTTCATACACTTCAATGCACCTGCACAATGCAAGAGGCCTTACTCGTGATTTTAGTTCAATGCATACCAGCCATAACCACCGATATCCAAGCATGAGTAAATTCCGACCGACAAATCTACGTACTAAAGGGTCATACAACCTTCACTATCGTACGTAGTAGTAGTAGTTCGCCAGACCACGCCTCCTACCGCATCGATCACTATCATCGAACGTGGTGGGAATCCCTTCTCCTCGTGCAAATTAAAAGCGGTCATCAACAGTTTGCTTGTTAGTTACTCCTTTCATCCAAGAATAAGTCTATATCTAGGTTTTGTCTTAATCTGAAGTTTCAAAAATTTTCCAATCTTATAGGGAAAAGTAGCAGTATTTATGCCGCTAAAATAGTATCACTTGATCAGTTTCAAGATGTACTTTCATAATAGACCAATTGATGCTATACACTCCCTCCGTTCCATAATGTAGTGCGTATAGATTTTTTGAAAAGTCAAATTTTGTAGTTTTGACCGAGTTTATAGAGAAAACTATTTTTATATAGTATTAATTATATAAAATATAAAAGTACATCTTATGATGAATCTAATGATATATGTTTTGCATTCTAGATGTAGATATTTTTCTCGACGGATTTGATCAAAGTTTGTGAGGTTTGAGTTTTAAAAAATGTCAATATGCATTACATTATGAAATGGAGGGAGTATGATACTATTCTTTTCTATAAAATTGGTCAAAATTTTGAAATTTTAACTTAGAATAAAAGCTAGATGTACACTTATTTAGGAATGAAGGGACCAGAACGTACCACTCATCCAACTAGCCCTTGTTGACCCTACAACTACAAGAACTGATGGTGTCGGTAGGGTGGCTCGATTGGCTGGGCATGCATGCAGTCATGGCACCCACATAGT